ATCCGCATATATGCAAACATCAGTCCATGAGAGAGCAATTGGTGTGTGAGAATTTGTTTAATCTAACGTCTACATACGGTATACTTAACAGGACTGGTTGCATTCCTAAGGAGCGTTTTAACGGGCAAACTTGCGGATAACCTGAATTTGAACAAACCCTTTCCTAGCCGGTTTTTAACGGTTTTTCCTTGACATGTTATCGGAGTCGGGATCGCGTACAGTTAAATATATTATGTTGGTTTTTTTAAATACGAGAAGTTCATTCAATATTTGCCCTGTTTTCCCATAGTAAAGAGTTGTCTTGGTAATTTAGTGCTAAAAAACCTTTTTTTTAAAATGCAGATCTCGATTTCTATCAGGAAATGCTTCAGCAGTTTAAACAGCTTTAATGACGACTCTTAAAAGTCTGGTTTCGAATGCCCCTCATTTACCTGGTCTGGCCAATTTACAATTACCAATCGATTTAGCATGATCTGTCCGTGTACGACTCTGGATTCGTCTGCTTTCGCTCTGGACCATAGCGTATGGACCATAGCGTAGGGACTCTTTATCCAGGAGGCCAATTTTCCAACCAATTGTCTGTGAATGGAAGACCAGGTGCAGGGGTTGGCCGATTCGTACATATGAGTAATTCTGATGGAAAAAGTTTGTTAGAAGGATGATAGTACGAACATGTGAAGTGAGTGAAGCTTTATAACTTTGGAAACTAATTAATTGACGTAGTGTATACATGTACAGGGCAAGAAGCAACAAGGCCTCCTTACTTAGCTCACGTCTACTCGAATTTTGGCTCGGCCGCTGTCATTGATGCCGTTTGATGTCAACCCCTCAACTTATAGGGTGTTTCTGGCTGCGTAAAAACAACGTACGGGTTGTCCGCGTGCCACGGCCGAAACTGGGACTGCTGCCTAGGGTCCTCTAAACATCGTCAAACAGCGCTACTGAGGAATCCCTTCAAATCCCTTCAGCTACACCTGTTACTGCAGCTAGCGAATAGTTGCATCGTTCACCGCGCCCGAAGTTCCTGAACCATACCTTCTGCGATCAAGTTCAGGAAACTAAAAATCAGGATATCCTCCTTATTGAGTGGAGTAGCATCCTTTTTCGGTGTTCTTTAAATTCCCGCTTTTTCTTATGTTTCGATTGATCGACACAAAGTGGGAACACCGCGGTTAAGCACACGTACGTGCAAGCTACTTTACTTCAGGTGAGACCTTTTTACTCATGCACGCAGACCGCAAAGTGTAAAGCCCTAAATCTAGCACGCACGCTTCGAGAATTTCATGCCCTTGGGCGCGGGCTGAGGGTGTGAGCTGGACATCTGGTATGATGATGACGACGGTAATGTGGTCGAAGTGAGTAGGCGGCTAGTCCGCTTCTCGTATCTCCATGCTAGGGAAGCAGGTATTGGGAGGGGCGCCGCGAGCCCACTATCTATTCTGTCGTTTTCCGTTTTCGAATCTTCCCCATACCCTCCCGCCGCATACAGAGAGCTGGTAGAGGGTGAGAAAGTTTCTCTCTCACACTCCCTTCGCTGGCGCGCAACTTCGATTGAAACGGGGGTGTGAGGCTGGCTACGATATTAGACCTAGGTGTGATGGATATAGTATTTGATTGACGTAGGTGGACAACTGAAGAGAATTCCCTGGAACATATTGTCACTGGAATGGTTGGTAATTTTTCTTTAGCGGGGGGAAGTTTGAGTAATTTAAGGATGGGCCCTACCTCCACAGCGGACTACTGGTGGAATCAGATATCGCGGCCTGTATTCGCAGGGAAGGCATACTTACTAGTGTGAAGCTTTTGCATTGTGAGATTTGATTTGTTTGGAAAAATGAATTGCAGGCTCTGATATATTTTAGGTATTTCTCTACTTCTGGAAACAGGTCAGTAGATCAAAACTTAATCAGCTATTTTCTGAGAATATTTAACGAATTTATAGTGATCTGCCGGTCATCCAAGTAAGTATGAAACTAAAAATCTGTTACAAGAGCGGAACCATTGAGATTTTGAGATCTTGATTTGTTCTCTTGCAGTCCCTGTCTTATGCTTGAACAAGCTCGCAAAATTCCACTTGACCAATCCAATGCTTTAAACTCGCCCTAAGTAATACTGGTAAACAACCCCTTACCAATACCGTGGAATTCCCCCTCTGTCACATCGCATTCCGGGTCTGTCACATCGCATTCCGGGGGCCATCGCGCCTCGCCTCATATTTCGACTACGTGCTAATTAGCCTGCACTCTCTTCAACATTTGTATTCTCAACTCTCTCCACCCCATCAATCTCCTATGGAGGGCGCGGACCAATTGAACGCCACATGTATAAAGAGTGACCACCCAGTTCAACATCACTGGCACGAGCTTCTCTGGACACCACCACCAGTAATCGGAAACGAGTACGTAACAGAAACATCCAATCCTGTATAGACAGGCGCAGTAATGAGCCCATATATTTGGAAGAATCGGTTTTGTGTACGGGGGATCTAGAGGGCCATCGAGACCATCGGAAATGATTATGCTTAGGTGAAATAGTAGGGATGTATTGCTATGTAGGCCTCATATGTACAGTACGTGCAGCCGTACATGTAAGATAAGTGGGGTCAGTATATAGCCGGCGATTGATCTGGTGCCTTCGTTTTCAAGACCGTAATAGGAGCACGCGACTATTGTTATTATGGATATATATATCGTTTACTCTCTTTTTTTTTTTTTTTCTTTTTCTCGCGGGGTTTGGCAACTTGAGATATCGGAGATGTATACCATATGTACTACTTACTGCTCTTCTGGCCTACTGTTGTAGCCCCTGTAGCAGCTCCAATATCGGCTTGGGAGTGGATTAGCACTACTTCCATATAAGGTGTGTGCCCGTCGATGTTTTCTTTATTTTTTTTTAACTTTATGGGCCGAGATGTCTTATTCGATTGACCACCACCCCATTACACCAAGCTCTGGCCGCTCTTCCCGCTTGGTGTACATAAATAGTTAGTTGGAATGGAGTGAATATACCATATGTATAGGTTATGTGCGAATGAAAACTCGAAGGACGTATACTGAAGAGTTTTATTCATTCGGGGATGTGTTACTTAAGTACTATTACCCTGAACCATGGATTCGTTCGTACGAAATATCCGAATGGTCAGCCACAACAAGGGTGAAAGTACTCCTCAAGAATAAATAATGGGAGGGTGTATGAAGGAGAGTATTGTAAAGGGGTTAGTATTTGTCATAGATCCATTAGCCCCATGGCTTCCTCTACTCCTCATTTGCCTAGGGCGCCTCAGCATATATCCTACCTTCCCACCGACTCGGCAAGTGCTACTATGTGCCATGGAGGGGGAAGAGGGGGGGGGGGTCCCATTGGCTGAACTTGTGAGACAGCCAGTTGGCAAAAAATTCTCGTACCATGCCTGCATAGAGGGGCCGTGAAACGTTTACAAACTTAGGGCGCTTGACTTCATAGCCGCGCACAGATTTTGAAATCGTTATGGGAAAGAAAACAATTACAAAAAACAGCAGAATTCGCTTTTTTGGTTGGCGGTTCTCTTAGTAGTTTTGTGAGTTTTGGTGTAGAGTCTCCCCAACTTGAAACAAATTTGCTGCTAGCACTTTTTTTTTTTGAGCGCTGTTACTCTGATAGTTTTAGGTTATATACAGATATCTTACCATGGGTATTAGCATTTCATCAAGTAGAACAATCGTTACGCCTATGTTATTTGTCAAAGAGTGAGTGCCGCTCCATATTAAGTCTTATCATATTCCGTGACTATAGAATTCAGTGATATCGTTGCAACTAGTAATTCAATAACTGCACTACAGACCGCAGTGGGCAACAGAAACTATTATGGTGAGATAGCTTTCAAATAAGACTAATTAATGAGCTGACATATTGCTATTGTATAATCCAATTTAACTCATATCTAACATCTCATCATTTTAGTGGGTCTCCCCCTCCCCCCCCCAACATATGTACCTTTACTCCGGGGGGTTGACGAAGATAAAATTGACATGTACTATGGTACATTGTGATTGCACCTCGATCTACTAGGTTTCTTGATCTTTGTGTACTTGCTTTCAGTTTAAAAGATGCAGGTCCGCACTGTTGGTGTTAAATGCTAATGATAGTTGACGACCATCCAATATAGTCCACACCCTGACAGGGCAAAGGCTTCAGGATAACGCAATAGGTGCTTGAAATATTAAGCTTCACTTGTGGTGGAGTGGTGGTCAGGCTACCTCAAATGGAGCGACTCGGGTGTTTTAGGGTGTTCATATTTGATACTACTTAATGTCTCCCCAGTAAGAGTTACCCTCAACCATATAGAACGTAGCAATGCACCTACCAATTAATTCGCTTCCCCTCTTTTTTTGAACTCAGTACTCGTGTGCACCCCCTTCGTGTGAGCCACCCGGTGATTGAAGGACAGGGCAAGTTAATCTCCCTTCCCCCCGCGCTGTCTATGTACAAATCAGATGTGCTTTTCTGAGAAACTGTGATATGAAGGAAATAGGAACTCGTTCTAGCATATAATAGATAAGACGAAAACCATTTATTTTTCCAAAGTCAAATATCTCACTACTGTGCTTCCGCTGTCTCAATGTAAGTCTAAGTAGAGGCAGGAGAAGAATGCTTCTATTCCAGTCTTGAATATAAGAAAAAGAATGCTTCGACTACGTCCCCAGGTCCCGTTGTCCTCTATCCATAACGGCCGGTCGAAGTCTTCCAATTTGGTGGCGTGATATCATCTGGGGCAGTGGAAGACGACGTAGGGTCCCCCTCTATTGGGTTATTACAGTGGGGAATGCACCTACCAAGTCGCAGAGTCGAAAAATAAACTTATCATAGGATGCTTAAATTGCTCAAAATGCAACCTGACGTTGAATGGGATTGTAAGTTCTTGTAGGAGGATTGCTTAGGTACATGGGTATTTATGAAATTGAAGATTTAGTGTCGTACGCAATAGCGCATAATAAATGGGAGAGATTTAAAAAAAGAAATACAGCCCAATGCGAGGCTCGAACTCGCGACCTTGAGATCCCTCATGCGCCTGTTTACCAGACACTTAAGAGTCACACGCTCTACCGACTGAGCCAACCGGGCTTTGTTGTTTTACATGAGCGCTATCAAGAAACATATCTGGAATCTTGCTTCACGGGTTTACTTCACTAATTTATTGGTGGATTGGGCCTCTCTTCTACGCTCTCTGTGGTTTTTTGATTTGTTATTGTCATTACATAGCTTTGCGTAACTACACAGCACAAATTATCCACGGTTTCATAACTATACTCTTCAAATCCCCAGCAAGCAATGTGCTCTGTTCGGAATCAGTACAACTATCATCACGTACGGGCGAGAAAAACTTTGAGCGAGCTTTGTAGCTTTGAGGATGTGGCACCAGTTGTGTAATCTAATTCTGATAGTGGTCTGAACATTACCCTGAACTTCCAAGCAGGGCACAGCCCACTTCGGATACAAATGAATGTCAAGGTAAGCGTCATAACACAACAACATATTACCCTGAACTAGTTTCGTCTCTCCAAATTGCGACTCGGAATGAGCCTTAGGACTGAAGCCCCTTCCTCCGGCCTTTCGGCGGATAATCACGATCAACAGATCCCCTAGTCATGTGCGCAAAGCAAACGTAACACCGACTGGCATCACCTCCCCCACGACCCCCAGCCTAGTCAGGCTACCCCAACTGGGCTCTTAAGCCACCCTCTTCCTTGTCAAGGAGAGTGCAAACTAAGCATTGGGATCAAGTTTAAGCTCTGCTAAGTGCTTAGGTTTAGTTGTCGGTAACCCTAAGTTTTAGGGTTAGAGTACTGAAGACTATCAACTGGCTCGACTAAGGTGGCCATAGGAAATGGAGAACTTGGAAAGCGCTGCTGTAGTAAGTATGTGTAGATTTTATACGGTGACTCATTACCGTAAACTCCCAACGAGCGAGCTACTTTGTTTAGGGTTCCCCAACTCCTCTCTCTCCTTCATCTGGTTGCAACATACTGTTGTCTCATGAACTAGTCCTGGAAATAACCTTACTCAAATTAAAAAAAAGAAAACTCAGTATTCGCCTTCCCACCCGTACCTTACCCTACATAGTATCCTCATGTGTGGCTCTTCAATTTATGGGACCCACCGTTACTACCAAAAACCTCTCCCAGAAGAGTACCCAGTCTCACGACCTATTGAAAAAGTCCAATCTTATACTAGGATATTTAGCAGATATACCAATGTTACCCTGAACTCGGCTTGTGTCGTTGTTTGGGGGTGGAGGGACTATAACGAGAATAGTGCTATTACCCTGATTTCATCTTAGGAAGCTCTCGAATAACCCCACAACCAGATTTCTTTACCTGATCCGCTATGCTCGGCACAAAAAGAAATTTTAGAAGGGTCGGAGTCAGGATAAGTAGTTGCCAAAACCTGAGCAGTACGGGGGGGGGGAGGTTAGCACGAGCCCCCTTTCCCAGAACGAAAGATGTGAGGCTAAAATGCCTTCCCACAACCTAACAATATCCTTAGCCCCTGACGCCTACAACACCAGGCCGGAGAGCCTATCTCGCCCATCGCCATATCAAGGCAACGTCAACGTAATATGAATGCATGTAGTTTATTTATGAGCCAACAACATAACTTTTAGGGTTAGAGTTACTTGGTTGCTGAGGGTTACTAAAGTATGTTAATTTCTCTTTGTATTTTCTTGTATGCCTCTCCTAAAGTATCTGAATGCCCGGTTGGCTCAGTCGGTAGAGCGTGTGACTCTTAAGTGCTTGTGCATGAGGGATCTCAAGGTCGCGAGTTCGAGCCTCGCATTGGGCTATGCTTCTCTTTTTGGTCCCGTAGGGCGGGCCGGCGTTGAAAAATTTTTTGTTTACAGAGGCGAGGCATGGGTGTTTTGGAATTTGGCCTTGTCAAGGTAACTTCGAGGATGAAATTCACTTCAACTAAACATTCCCATTGTGATCGTACCTAACCCAAGGACGGTATAATCCTATATGCATGCATGCTAACAAAACTATTAACACGAAAAGGCCCTAATATAATATGAATCCCAACCTGAACCTAAATAATGTGCCAACAATATAAACCCTCTAAATCAATCAGGGCAGCCCCGAATATACTCATTCCCATAACCGAAAGCACAACATGCAACCCAACTTAACCCAAACCCCGCCACGCACCTTTCTTTTCTCCCAGCGTGCGGCACGCACATCTATGCCAAAAAACCCCTTCCCATATTCCTCCCCAACTCCCCCAAAAACGCTTCCAACTTTACCGCACATAGTACTACTTCCATACCCCCCTTTCCATCAATATTACTCGTCCTCTGTACTCTTACTCTCCACTGCCCACGCTTGATTATCCATTCTCTTCCTTGCCCGCCACCACCACTACCACTTCCTCCTGCCCGAGGAGCGAAGGTCCCAGAGTCAGATGAGAGACGCCGGCGTTTCAGTGGCCGCGGGAGCGGAGGGGGGTGGGCGCGGTTTTGCAGTGGGGAGTTTTGCAGGTGTGAAGTGGGGGCAGGAGGGGGTGGTGGCCGTGATAGGACATTGGGAGAGCCTCCTGAAGAAGGCCGGGGGGGTGGTGCGGGGATATTTGGTACAATATATTGATAGGTGTTCCCCGGGGTTAAACAATCCTCACCAACGACCGAGGACGAGGAGCCGTCATCTTCATTCCCGCAATACGTCCCCCAAGAAACCCATTCAACTTCCTCCCCATCCAAGATGACATGCGCGTCGCGGTCAATCCGGACTTTAACTCTATCCTCACTCAACGGCGTATTCCCCGGACTCTGGGGTAGCCCTCCTTGGGCAGCGCCGCTTCCACCCCTACCACTGGCGCTCCCACCCCTACCACTGGCGCTTCCACCCCTACCACCCCCTGCTCCAGCGGCCCCAGCCGTCCTCGCCGCAACGGCAGCCTCTTGCTGTGCCTGAGCCATCATCTGTAACCCTAACGGCCGCGTAGTTGCTAAATTCAACTTATCTGCAATCCTCTGCAGGAAGTTTGTAATCTTTCTATTCGTCTGCCCTACAAACTCCACCCTCATATCTTTCCTATCAAACTTTGTGGTTTCCCCGCCAATCTCAACGATTAACTCGTAATCTTCATCGTCGACCCACGGACGGCCATATACCACAAAACCCACTGGCGAATCTGGAGGGGGGATTTGATTTGGTGGGTGAATCTCAGGTCGGAATGTGATCCGGGAAGGTTTGATATCCTCGATTCGAATGACGATTTCGTGGCGGTCCCGGAGGAGATTATAGCTGATACTATGCGGAATTAATTTCTGCTCTAGACAGCGTAAGTTGTAGTATCGACAATCCTGTAATAATTCTTGTCGATGTTCCTCATTCCGAATATGTATAGGATAACCCCGGAGGACATGGAGTAACTCTTTGAATGTTTCCGGGGAGTGGTTTGGGACGTTGGCAGGAGCTATGGATGGGGGTCTAAGGAGCCCTTCGCGGGGTAGGCCAGGGAAGAGTTCACCGGATTTAGTGAAGTTGACAGAGAGATTGAGGTCGAAGAAGTTGGAGGAGTCGCCGGGGCTGGAAAAGGTGTCCCGTGGGATGCGGAAGTGGGTGCCACCAATGAAGATGTAGAAATCGGATTCATAGAGCTGCGAGATGAGTTTTGGGACTGTGGGTGGGTTAGACTATAGGTTGTGAGAGAGACAGCGAGGGCGGGTGCATACGGCTATAGAACTGCGCATCGGCAAATAATCGTACATAATGCCCCGCGTCCTCCGGTGAAACGTAGTAGCCTTTCCCGCTGTCAGCATGTACCCCATGAACACTGCTTCTGCCACATACATACCTTGCAGATGCCTCGCGATATCTCTAAACGTCACTGGGTCCCGATCTATGTACAAGGTCCTAACCTGTGCATCGGGATCGGTAGCCAATTGCTGCTCAAAGAACTGCGAGAAATATGAAGGGGCTCTCGAGAAAATCAACTTTATCGCCCAAGGCATAAGAAGAAAGGTAAAACAGCAAAAAACTGACCATCTGAAGATATCGAAGCGCCACTAATATTCGAGCAACTGGTCAGCTCTAGTCAACACCCCAGGGGGAAGCCTCCCGTACCTCAACCTGAACAGCTCGCTACCAATCTGTATCGGGAAGACCTATGTGCTCGACTATATCAGCGCTTACCCTACCGAGCACCCTGGGGATAAAGTTCTTATACCCTCTCATGTGGCAATATCCTCGGAATGTCTGGAAAGTACGATCCCCGCATCGTTACATCGTCCAACGTTGGCTGCGGGACCCCATTCCCCGCAGGCCCTGCTTGGATATTCATCATTGGTTGTTTTTGCTGTTGTTTTTGTTGTTGCTGTTGTTGCGATTGTTGCGACTGTTGTACTCTTTGAATATTTGGCGCCGTGGGTCTTCGTAATTGGTTGGTATTCACACTCAATCCTGATGGTCCCACTGGTGATGATGTTGGCCCAGGATTTGGCGCGGTGCCACCTCCACCGTTCGGCCCAGCTACTTTATTGAGCTGCTTCGTTCGCGAAAGGGTTGATTGAGGTAGTTGAACCCCCGCTGCAGCGGCAGCTAGTTGTGCATTGACGTTCACCGCCGATTTCTGATGAACCGCCGCTCCCTGTTCTCGTGCCTGTTGCTGTAACTGCAGCTGTCGCGATAATTGCTGCGACTGCGACTGCGACTGCGACTGCGACTGCGACTGCGACTGCGACTGCGACTGCGACTGCTGCTGTTGCATTTGAGGTTGATGTTGTGAGCCCGAAGACGGGGGTGGTTGCTGCTGCATTATTTGTTGTTGCTGATTATGAATATGGTTTTGCTGTAGTTGCCGACCACCACCTATACCACCACCACCATTCCCTGGTGTAAAATGCGCCCCGGTAGCCATGGCACTCAACATCCCATCAAAAGGGAACCCTTCCATCAAAAATCCAAAGCTATCAGGAAAGATTCCTAGGCCTGCTGCCCCAAGCCCCTCGATATCACTCTCAATTGAACTTGCTCCTACTCCACTTCCATCAGCTACAGCTCCACCGGCCCCATTACTTCCACCAGTCCTCGCCCCCGAGTAATTGGGCCCGGCCAACTGGGCTGCGC